CCGCGTAAACATAAAACCTTGTCTGCATTTGTGATCGGAGAAAGGACAAACAACAATCTCTACTCTACACTGCTCAAAACTCGCGTTTGAATCGTCAGTGGCAAATTCTTTAAATATAAAAAACGTACTTACAGTCTGTGAGTCAGAACAGCTGGCATTGTAGTCTACTCTACCAGGATCAGGAAACAGTCCTCCATAAATTGTGCTGCACACATCTGAATATTTGGGTTGAACTGTTCTGGAACAGTGTTGTAAATACAAGTTAACCACTGATTTCTAGTCGTGTCCACTTTTGGAAGGCCAAACAAAGTAGTTTCTCTTTCACAACGAAACACAGCATCACACACGGCGGGCTTGAGTGAGCGGAGGCCTGCGGGCTAGAGTGAGCGGCGGCTGGCGGATTCGACGAAGAAGCGCCCGGCGGGCTTGCGGCAACCACATGTGACAACCCCGGGCTGGACTCCACTTCATGCACGGTTAAAGCCGATCCGGCGATCCACAGCATGAAGTTGATGTATTTCCTCAGCGACCAGCACGGATCAGCTCCAGGCATGACGAAGCAGATATCGTCCTCTTTTGGAAGGTCAAACAAAGTAGTTTCGCTTTCACCATGAAACACACAGCACCTTCACGACATGGCGGTAGCAACAATACTACAGCGAGAATAAAAGTTATGCCTTCTTTCTTTGCGTGAACATTTGGGTGGCGTTATGCAAATCTTCCCACATCGTGATGTAGACATGTGGGGGCGTGTTAGAACGAGCCGTTTTAGGTAGGCGTGGTTGACTCTTAACTTTTATAAAGAATATCTCTTTGGATTTGAGACTTTAGTCTTTGCAACTTTACAGATCTTCTTTATGCACCAAGAGCTTGTAACACTTCAAAGAGAAAAGAAAAATTGAAATCGCATCATATGACCCCTTTAATGTTGCTCCCAACCTAAAAATGGGCAAATGGAGAAGGCTATCCCAAAACTGGTCCATGCAACGCGTTTGCTATCCCTAAAGCCATTTGATTGCTCTGTTTGAGGAACATGACTAAATTCAAATCATAGCTCTCAAATCAGCACATGCAAGTATTCTCTATCAACACTTGATGTGTCTTTATTTGAATGTAAGTACTTCAATAAATAACCATTTCAATTTCATTATGTTCCTATGCGTGTATAGCCTATTATTCAGAAGTCTTGGAATATAGTGCAAATTACATGTATATGGGCGTTTTTATGATCTGTCAAGACATTTTGAAAAAAATAAAAATAAAAAAATCCACAGGTGAAAGAAAATCATTCAGGTTTGGAACAACATGTGTGTAAAATAAAATACTTTTGTACCCTTTATAAACCTCCGCAGCAGTATTTATTACGTAATAACAACAACAACAACAAAAAAACTTTCTGAGGCTTAAACTTTCTAAAAAGAGGTTTGAAAACTTTTCATGTGTGACTTTCCAGCATAAATGTTCCCGTCTGATTGGGGGCGCATGGCACCGTGTTTCAGAAGCTTCTCCTTTTCCACGTGCTCTCCATGAAAAATAGGCTGTAGTGTGCAGAAGAGGGAACCAATCAGCGCTCAGCAGGGCGGAGCGCGTGGGACGCTGCATTCAACTTCAAATTCAGCTCTGTACAAATTATTATTCCAGAGAAGAGAAACTCGAGCCGCTCATTCAAAGCCTTTTCAAGAAGTGACAATTTTACTTGCGTCCGACTAAACTTTGAATTGCCTGACAGGAGCTTTGTTGCAAGTTTCTTTTTATCTTCGGTCCGGGCAGCAGGTGTTCGGTCTCCGCCACAGAGCTCAGTTCTCTTCGTTTGATGAATTCATTCAGCCATCCACACCGCAAGAACATTAGCTGAGGACTTTCATTTCACTTTTCAAAGATAATTTACATCGATTCACTGCAAAACCGAACTTTAAGGATTGACTGCTGGAACAGAGCTTAACCGTTGATGAAGGTGAGCGTTGGTCTATGTTTACAATTAGGGTTTGGAAATGAGAAGCGGTCCTTATTCATATATTTTTTAATAAATACAAGCACAAAATAGCTAGTTAACATGACGTTTATTTGCACTGATGTTTCTAGAACTTGTATTCGTCTGATATTATACCGCATTAAAAATACTCTTCAGAGTTCACTGAAAAAAAATATACTCTTTTTAAGGTAAGTACGGTAGTTGCAATCAATAGTTGCAAACACATTTAGTTGACTAACTTTCAGCAAAAGTAGTTTACTTAAATGTAGCTAAAATAAATTGATTGCAACCTTACCTTAACCTAACCCTAATTTTTTTTTCAGTGTTCCTGTCTCACAATTTACAAACACCCTGCTCCTGAAGCTACAACGCGAATCTAGTCCGACCTCGAAAGAATGACTCTTATAAATCGATTTTTTTTAGTGAATCAAAAACACAGAGCGCATCTAGCGTAATCCGATTCCCAAAGGAGCGACTCTTAAGAGTCGGCTCTTTTTAGTGAATCAAAAACACAGAGCGCATCCAGCGTAATCCGATTCCCGAAGGAGCGACTCTTAAGAGTCGGCTCTTTTTAGTGAATCAAAAACACAGAGCGCATCCAGCGTAATCCGATTCCCGAAGGAGCGACTCTTAAGAGTCGGCTCTTTTTAGTGAATCAAAGACATGCAGTGCTACAAGTGTGGGCAAATGATTTTATGCCAGTTTTTAGTGAATCAAACCCCTTATGAATCATTCAGGTACTGAATTCATTAGACTCATTTACTGATTTGCAAGTTATTATCTTCGTCTTAATCAAAGTAGCTGACTGGTTGTGAAAAAAACTGATAGCCTACAACATTTTAGGTTTGTTTTGTTATTTAAGTTTTTGGAAGTATACCTATTATTCCCAAAACACACCTTTTCAAAGAACTGTATCAAATGTAGGCTATATCTGATTTATTATCTCCTCAGTTTATGAATTAAGTCATATTACACCGCTCGTAATTTGCATACTTATGACGTCTGCTTTTTCTGTTCACAGGTGTTTTTTCGTTTACGAGGAATTTATACTGGACGTTATTGGTTCTTTTTGCGTCTTGCTTAACCTGTTGGATACAAAAAGTCTTATGTGTAACCTTACACTTAACTAGATTAATAGCCTAAAGCAACATTTCCCGCGAACTGCTCCAAACGGATAAAGGCACATCTAATGAGCACCGATATGGATTGTAAGGGATTCTTCAAGAGTCGCTGAATGCCGTGAAAAAGCTCGAAATGATCGGGTAAATAATCCGACTGCGAATACGTCAAAACAACGTGGCTTTACTGGAGATATTGGCGCTCTAAGCGGATAAATTAAATCCGGTACACTCAAACGTATTAATACTTAACTGGAATCAATACTGAAACATCATGAGCCGTCTCGGGACACAGAGGAGCGGCTCGCGATTAGTGAAGGGATGTTCGCGGAGCGTGTCGTTCATTTTGGAGCAGCGTACGGAGACTTGGTCCTTTTGGTTTGAAGGTCTCGTTTGTTTCACTGCTAAATGCGCTGACGAGGGTGAGAGCTTCCCGAAAGCCGTGAGACATGAAAGTGAAGCGACCGGGAAAGTCGCGGACTCGGAGCTGAACTCTCCCGCATGTGGGATGAATGAGCATCGCCTCGTAAATGCGGCGAAGCAGAGCGCGCACTTTAGGCTTTTCTCACAAACCTCCACATCTGCCGAGGTTATAGATTCCAGCTTTAGCGGGGGTCAGAACCCACTTATCAAGGGCAAAGTTAACGGGATTATTCACCGCGAAGGAAATATACAGAAGGTGATGACTGGGAAAGCAAAGTGCGGGATGTGGGGTTGGATTTTTGCCCTTGTGTTCCTTTGGAATACCCACATGTTGCGCGCTCAAGGTAAGTTTCGAGTTGTGTATCATAAAACGAGTTTGTGTGACTTTTAATTTATCTTGGGTTTAAAACATTATTTTGACAAGTAAATATTTGACCAAGTTCCAATTTTGTTAAAGGGGGTTATAATGATGCTATTGCATGCATAAATGCATGTATAAAACTGTATTGTTGTAACAGGATTTTTAAAGACGAGGTGAACATTTAGTGCCTTTAAGGGTATCAGAGAACCTGAAATAGAAAAGAATAAGGGGCAGAGAGGAAAGGAGGGACATAAGCTAGACACAAGGGGACTGGGATGGATTGAAATGAAAAGAGAGACATATAGAGAGAGAGAAGCAAAGGGGGACAAGGAAAGAGAGATGAACAGACAGAATGAGGGAAATGGAGAGAGAGGGGTGGGTGATCGTGCCTGTGTGTGTCTCAACAAAAGCGGTAAAGGTCATATGCTGTCAACATGCACATTTTCTCAGGTCACACACACGTCGTATTGACTGAGCGTCAAACTGACAAGTAATGGTAGCAGGATGCATGAATTTACGAAGTGCATGCGTGTGAAAGCGAAAGGGTGTGAAGGGAAGGACGCTGGCACACTCTTGAGATTCAGAATTATGATTCAGAGCAGAATTCAGTTAAGCCTTGACTGGAATCGGCTTCATCAGGCTCTTGACTGCATACGGTGCCAGCTGGGTCGCTCTGGTACCCGTCAGGCTGTTTTTTAAGGGGGGGGGGGGGGGGGAGGGGTGTTACTGATTGAATTAGGATGTTTTAAAGCAGAGCACAGATTTTGCGTGCCACACGTGGGAGCATCTCAGTCTTTAAAATGGCAGCAAGATTAAAAGATTCAAAAGTACGATTGTATTGCAAGCAACGCCTCACCATGTTAAATGCATTTGGTATGGAGATGCTGTGGGCTTTTCAGTGTTGGGGCTGTGAAATCCATCTCTCTTTCTTTTGGTGGTTGCATTAATGCAGACGCATGAATGCATTCGACTCAAAACAGTTTGCAAGAACACCCACTCCTGTGACTTCTCTTTAGCATTGGTGGCTGGCACTCTTTTCCCTCTCTCACTTTCTCTGCGTGCTTGCAGACTCAGCTTTCTCCCCATGTTAATGTCAAGGTCTTGCTATGGCTTTGGATGTGGCCCAAACCCCAACCTTAAGGAGGTCAGAAGGTTATTGATCACATCGCGTCAGGCAGAAACGGAGTCATCACTGCTTTGTGAAGCATCATACTAGTTTGATTCCATGCAGTGCAGCCATCAGTTTTCCCTAATCAAGTTTATTCTTTTTAAACCTGAAATCCCTCAAGGATTTGTGTCTCTCATCATTCAAAGCTTCACTTTTGAAGAAATTGAACATTTGTTATTCAAAAGTTATATTTAGAAGCAGGCCACTTGCAAGAAAAAGTTCAACGTAAGCTCAATTTCTGAATCACTGTCAGGGTCTGCTCATGGAAAGAATTTAGAGACTATTATAGACGAAGGTGGAAACCATTAATATGATATCTTATGTGAAATAACACAAATTTGATATGATATCTTACATGAAATAACACAAATTTGAAGGTTAAAATTTAGTTTTTTTTATGAGCATTGCCTTGTTAAGATCTGTTGATCTGAGACCAGAATGTTGACAGTAATGGAAAACCTGGAAATGCTAAGAAATCTTAAAATAATTATAAATTTCATATTATTAAATGTCACTGAAAATCTGAAGCATTTAATATGCAAGAAAGTGCTCTTTTACCCAGTGAATTATGCAGTAATCGCAAGTATTGACTAATAGGAGACACAGTTTTGGAAGTTCATTTGTCAGAATTTGTGGGAACCCTGTGAGACTCTTGCTCTTTCATGCAATGCAATTAGAACCGGTTTCTTCCTGTCATGAAGCTGTTAAAAATACAAGGTAGGTCATGGTATTTCCTTCCCTTTTCTCTCTAAAAAAGGCCAATGTTAAATTCATAGTGAATGAATAGTGCTGCTGTACATACAGCATGCATCAACAGGTGTCTTTGTGGGTTTTCCTTTAGTCCTAAACAAGATTTTTTAAAATACTTCAGTCCCAAAAGCTAAAACTTTTGAGAACTGTCACACACTGTCCCAAGTCGTTTGGCTGCGCTCTCTGTATTTATGACTCTTGCCAGGCATGTCAGTCGCTGAGTGGCTTTCTGTGTGTACGCTCTCAATGCACGCCAGTGATGAATGTTTGCATTCGAACGCTCTGACATCTTGATGCGCCACCGAGGTCCCTCAGAGAATCAGATGAAGAAGAGAGGTGCGAGAGAGATGGGATGAGAGAAGAGATGTGGGCTGAAACAAGCAGAGAGGGTGCAGATGTTAAAAAGGAGTGGAGCGTGAAAAGGAGGAAGCAGTGCAGAAGGAAGAAAGAGGAAGGAATGGGATGGGATGGTAGTTTTGGATGGGTAGATCTCTACGGAGGAGAGAACTGGCATCTCTTTACCATGCTCTTCCTTCACATCCATCACAAGAGACAGTTTTAGGGTCACTGGGATGTCTATCAAATCAAAAAGGAAAGAAAAGCCTGTGCGTTAGCTAAAGCAGAGGAAGAGAGGGGGGAAAGTGGAGTGGAGGAGAACATAATGATGGAGGGAGGCAAAACGCAGAGAAACCGAGAGAGAGAGAGTGTAGGCATGATAGAATGAAATCGAGATTGATGTGATTGCTTGTCTGTGTACTCGCGTGTCTGTGTGCGCGGGCCCTGGCAGGGTCGGCGCGGCATGAAAACTGCTCCTTGTGTCTGAAGCCTCTCTCTGTGCTGCTCTGGTCAGATGGGCTTTTGATCCCGGATGACAAACTCCTGCAGGGGCTGAATAAGAACTACTCAGAATTACACCCAGTGCCACACTCCAGTACGTACTGCACCCTTCCCACAATCCTCTGCCATGCTCCTACTGGCACACTCAAACACCATACTGCCTTCCAACTCTTAATGAAACACAGTTGCCATAAATATAAACAAATCCTCTACGCTTGACTCTATGGCCAAGCTGGTTGTTTATCAAGTCAGAGTAAATCAAGACCCATTAGTAGTGTTTATTAAAGAATACTATTATTATTATTCAAAGAAACACATAGCTCATCCTGCACAGTTCGTGCTACAGATATGAGTGAAACCTCAACAAGTTGGCGAATAACTTCAACAATTAGACATTGTTGGCGCAAAATTCCCAAAGACGCATGCCTTGTCCAAATACCCACACTTGCGATCTTGGCCACTTGAGAGCGCGCGCGCGCGACAGGAAGTGAGTGTGCAAAACACGAAAGCACTGTGCCCTTCACGCACAATAAATCTACACTATCTCGAATACCGCTCCGGAGCGCTATTCCAGGCATAGTGTATCCCATCATGCATCATATTTGGGAATAAATCGTGAGATTTTTGCAGAGATCTCGCGAGAGGTCACATAAACCTTTCCAATGTAAGTTAAATATTAATATAATAATTAGATATTATTACATATAATTTGATAGAAGTGTTGCACATTTTATTGGTAACTTTTATTGTGTAACTAAATGTGTATTTTTCGATAATTTCATTTGTTGTCCTGAACAACAATAGCATAGCCTCTCTACTGCCATCTTCACTGCATCATAAATTGCATTTAAAGACTTTCATTACTTTTTTGTAAAAAAAAAAAAAAAGGAAAATAGAAAAATGCACCTTTAACCATTTCAGCATGTTCTGATTTTGTGCATTTTCTCACATAATGGCCAAGTTAATGACTTTCCTTCCATGGGAGTCTTTTGGGGTTTTCTGTATTGGAAAGGGTATTTGAGAGTATACTAAATGAGTGCATATGTTTTGGTTCTAATTTACATCTAGCCTGTCTTGGCCCTCTTCTCTGCATTGTTCCTCTGCTCATTTACCTTCTTTTACCATGTGTTGCCCAACATTTCTCACACTGACACCCTTAAAGAATTTTGAAGTGGCTTGTTGTGTGACTGCGTGTGTGTTTACGCATGAGTGCAGCGTTAGTATTAGGCCCCAAAAGCCATTGTGCCTTTATTGTTCACTTGTATTGTTCGCCTGTAGACCCGTCCCTCCCCCAGTCGTGACCCAGACTGTGTCATTAACCAAAGCCTTTGTGTCTCTTTTATTCTAAAGTGGCCAAATGAGTATAGACCTCTTAATTTCAGTAGTAAACGAAGTGATTTAATTGGTTTATTGCTAATCACATTTCATTAGTAATCATCTTGAATGATTAGGAAAAAATAACTTTGATAGTTTGCCGACAGGTGGTCTATTACGAACAACAATATAACTGCTCGTATTCACTGCGAAGAATTAAAGAGCTTTGAGGAAATGCTTGGCAATAAACACTTGGATTTAATTCGCTCTGCCTGTCTGAACACATCTGCCTTCCGCACTTAAGTATTATCAGGCGATCATTACATGCACAAGACATGCTCGGCGCCCTGTCTTTCCACCCCCACTTTCTCTCTTCAACCGAAAGTTAGCACATTTATCGGCATAACAGTAATGAATCTTCTTTAGAATGAGATCAAAGCCAGACAATATAAGAACATCTTCACACAGAGCAATTTTGATTTTAATTTACATGTGAAACACTTTCTTTAATTCCCTCATTGTTTCAGTCCTCCCCTCTGAAATCGGTTTCAGCTGTTTCTTCTTTCTTTCTCTAGTTCTTTCTTTCTTTTTCTCTTGTTGATGCCTGTAGCATTGAATTTGAGTCAAAGCACTGGCTTTTGGACAGAGGCCTTTCCATCTTTACTAATCAGCTTTCACACCAATAGATTTTTTTCTTCGGCATTCATAAATGATGAGATTAGCACATCTTTGTTATTGAGTATTACATGTTCAAGTGCCTACTTTGCCTTTGAATTTGAGTGGTACCTCGTAATGTGTGCATAGTACCATTCATTGGTTTCTGGAAGCCCAGAAGGCCATGTTTCATATTATGCAAGATTGTACAAGTGCCATATTAACATCTTTTCAATTTCTGCTTGTCATTGAGTGAGTTT